ACACACACACACACACACACACACACACACACACACACACACACACATATATATATATATATATATATATATATATATATATATATATATATATATATATATATATAATATATATACATGTGTGTGTGTGATGTGTGTGTGTGTGTGTGTGTGTGTGTGTGTGTGTGTGTGTGTGTGTGTGTGTGTGTGTGTGTGTGTGTGTGTGTGTGTGTGTGTGTGTTTGTGTGTGTTGTGTGTGTGTTATGTATCATTCTTATCATTATTATCATTATCATTGTTATCATTATCATTATTGTAATTGTTATTGTTATTATGAATATTATCATTATCATTATCATTACTGTCATTATCACTATTATTATCATTATTCCTATCATCAATATCATGATAAGCATTATCGGTATTATCATTACTATCACTATTGTTGTTGTTATCACTATCATTATTGTTATCATAATTTTTTATTATTATTATTGTAGTTATCATTGTTTTTCATCTTCTTTTTCATTTTCTTCTTTGATGCTATTAGTATCAATATATTTTTTTTATATTGTCATTTTCATAATTATCATTATTTTACTATATCATTATTTATATTATCATTCATTATTATTATCAATATCATATTTATATTATTATCATAACTATTATTATTATTATTAATATCAATGTTATTATCATTATTATTACTATTATTACCATCATTACTTCTTTATTATCATTATTATCATCATTATCACTGTCATTATTATTATCATTATCATTATTGTTATCATTATCATTATTATTATTATTATTATTATCATTATTATAATAGTCATTATCAAGAACGTGCTGATAAACTGTCCTTATATTGTATTATATCGTAGATTTGATATATCTTATGCAGCTGGATCAAGTATTTTTGTTGACATGAAAGGGATTAATTGTTTTATGGTCAAAGAGAGTGAAGGGGAATAAAGGAAAAAAAAAGAAGAAAAAAGAAAAGATGAAGAAGGAAAAGAGAGTGAGGGGGAGGAGGAGGAGGAGGAGGAAGAGAGGAAGAGAAGGAAGAGGAGGAAGAGGGAGAGGTGAAGGAGGAGGAGAAGGAGGAGGAGGAGGAGATGGAGATGAAGGAGGAGAAGACGGAGGAGGAAGAGATAAAGAGGAGAAAAAATAAAGAGGAGAGAGAGATATGGTAAAAGACGAAAAAAAAAAGAGAAATGAAGAATGAGAGTAAAAAAGAAAAAAAAAGGGACAAGAAGAAGAAAAAAAATCATATTAATATTTGAGCTTTAGCAGACTTCCGCTCTTCCACCCCCCCCCATACGTCCCTCCCCCCCCCCCCACGCCATACCTCCCCCCCACACACACACCCCGGACTTTTTCATTCATTTAATTTTTAATCTTCACAGCAGCTGCTCTCTCATCGGCTGCGTCTTCATCACCTGCTTGGCTTATGGGAGCCTTATCAGCTGTTATCTCCAGCATCGCTTCGCCCCATTGATAAGGTCACTGGAACGCATGAATGAGAGAAAGGGGGGGGATGTGGAATAGGGGTGGGGGTGGGTGGGAGGGACAGGTGGGAGGGTGGGGTGGGGAGGGGAGGGAGAGAGGAGAGTGGGAGGAAAAGAGGAAGGGAAGAGGAGAGAGGAAGGGAGAGAGAGAGAGGAGAGAAGAGAGAGGAGAGGAGAGAGAGAGAGAGAGAGAGAGAGAGAGAGAGAGAGAGAGAGAGAGAGAGAGAAGAGAGAGAGAGAGAGAGAGAGAGAGAGAGAGAGAGAATGTGAAGTTTGGACGGTCGAAAGAGGGAGAGAGAAAAGAAAAGGAACAGCGAAAGATACGAAGAGAGTAAACTTTAGGTATTAGAATTAAGGAAGAAAGAAAAGAGAGAGAGAGGGAGAGAGAGACAGACAGACAGACAGACAGACAGAGACAGACAGACAGACAGACAGACAGACAGACAGACAGACAGACAACAAAACAACCAACCAAGCAACCAAACAACCAAACAATGAATAAGGTTAAGAGAGAAGAAGAAGAGAGACACAGGCGCCCGAGAGATAAAGAAGGGAGGGAAGGCGAGAGAAGACCCATGAATGAATGAACTTTAAGCTTATCTGGTATTACTAGTTCGTCAAACTGTTGTGATAACTCTTATCTTGCGAAGTGTCATTGGGTAGTGATAGCGATGACCTTTCCACTTAAGTTCCATTTGGTGAAGTTTTTTATCCAAGGCATTAATAAAAAAAATGGGAGCTGTTTATCCATCTTGTATTTATTTATCGATCAGCATTATTAAAGTAATTAAAACCATATAAGTTATTAATTTGATGATGATGGTGATAATTGCAATATAGATTATGATAATAGCAATAATAGTTTAAGTAATTAAAGCAATTTAAGCTATTAATATGATTATTATGGTGATAATTACACTAAAGATAACGATAACAGCAATGATATCAATAATGATGACAATAACAATGGTGAAAATAACAAAAATGATGGTGAAATAACTACAACAGCAACAACAACAATAACAACAGTAAACACCACCTTCATCATTATCATCATAATGATACTGATCATAATTACAATGATAATGAGGATAATTATTATCATAAAATGGTAATCATTACATAATAGAATAATAGATATCACATGATAAAATGATAATCATGATATAATAAAAAACATAATTAACCGCAGCTATTAATATTAAGATAAAGATAATAATTCGACATTTTGATGGAAAAGGAAAAAGGGTGAAAAGAAAAAGACGAAACAAGTAGAAAAAAGACATTTAATAAGAGGCCGGTAATCCAAGGAGGGGAACACCTCGACATCTTCATCAAGTGGAGGGGCAGCTAGACGACCTTCTCCCCTCCCCTCCTCCTCTTCCCCACCCCTTCCCTCCCCCCCCTCTCTCTCTCTCTCCTCAGATAGCCTTCTTCCCTTCGCCCTCCCTCTGTTCTTCTTTCATCTTCCCATCTCTATCTCTTATCTTCCCCTTCTTCTTCTTCTTCGATTCGAATTCTTCTTCTTCTTCCTCTTTCTCTCCTCAGATAGCCTTCTCCCCTTCGCTCTCCCTCATGAGTTACTCTTTCTTCTATCTCAGTCTCTATCTCTTTATACTTCATCAAACTTCTTCATTCTTCTTATACTTGCTTCATAGTACATCTTCTTACTGTCTTTCTCTCATCATACGTCCATCAGACTAGCCATATGCGTCAAACCGCGAATGCTCGCACCTCCCTTAACTGTGTCTTCTTCATATAGCTTGACCCATCTCTACTCTAATCAATGGCTGATACACCCATTAGAATACTTTCTTCTTTTCATTTCATCTAGATCTTATCTTGCATGATCCTCTTCTCTCTCACTCTAGAATAAAGAAAGCTACTTCTCACCGCTTACGCTCTCCTCATGTTCTTACTTTCTACTTATCTCATCGATCTATCTCTTATCTTCTATAAATTAACAATCCTTCTCTTCTTCTACCTTCTTCTTCATCTATCTATATTCTTCTTTCTCTCTCTCTTCCCAGTACATGCATATCTTCCTAACTATTCCTTCGCAGTTACTATCTCACGTCTGTTGCTATCATTGTATATGCTATGACTATCGCATATAAATACATCATCAATCTACTCTTCATCTTTCCGGACCGCAATGTCGTTCTTCATTCATCTATTCTTACTGTCATATCTTCTTCTTCCCCATTCATCTATAACTTCCTCAGAAGACGCTTCTCCCCTGTTCGTCCGCGCCATCCGTGATCCCTTCTTATTCTTGCTTCCCATTCTCTATCTCTTTTGCTGTGCTTCTTCTTTCTTCTTCTGTTCACTTCTTCTTCTTCGCTCTCTCTGCTTGCCTCAGGATGATGACTTCATATCCATTCCTTAATCGGCACCTCCCGTCTGATTGTTCTCTGACTTCTATGAGGAGTAACCACACTATATATGATCATGATCCCATCATTTCTCTTTCAGAGCGTTCTTCTTCTCCTCCTTTCCTCCCGCTGCTACTTCTGCCATCACAGATTAAGCTTTGACGATATATCCTGATCGTATCCGGTGACAACCTCATTCTTCTTTACTTCCTACTTCTGACCTACTTATCATTTATATGACGCTCCCCATCATTCATATCGTTTCTTCTTAGTTGCCGTCACCTAGCATAGCCTTATAGGTCCTCCCCTGACTCTCTCCCCCACTATTCTATGCTTCTCCTCCTCCCATTGCCTCCCCTCTCTCTCCCCGCAGCAGATCTATTCATTACTCCCCTCTTTATCCTCCATACATTACTCTTATGCTATATTTTGAACTTCTTAAGTTCACCGCCCACACCCTCCTTCTCTCGTTTGCTTTATTAGACAAGTTCCGCCTAATCTCTCCAGTGTTTCTGCTCCCTTCCCCTTACTCCCTTCAGCATTACACTACCTAGAATTTTCCCTCACTCCTCACTCCCCTGAATTTTATGCTAACTTCCATCTCCTCTTCTCATCCTCTTCTATTGATTTCTCCTCCCTTATTCCCTTTCTTTTGTCTCAGACAAGTTCTTCCTATTCCATCTTCACTTTCTATCCTACCCCTTTCCAATCGTATCCTTGTCTTCCTGCTTTTCTCTCGCCTTCTTCTTCTATCCTCTTCCTCACCCCGTCCATCGTACATTATGCCCCGCTCATTAGAATATACAACAAACATTCAAACTTCCTTCTGACCCACTAACCCTCTATTCTGCCTCACTGAAACATCCTCTCTCCTTCTACCTTCTCTCTTTTTCTGCACTCTTAGATACAGAGACTCTCCTCTGCCTGAGATCGATTTACTGAAAGACACCACCTATCGAGATGTTAAGTACATTACAGACAAGAAGCCGATTCATATCAACATACTTTCTATACCTCGGACTATCAGACTCACTATCTGCCTACTTATTTTACCTCCGTTAAGACCTAAGATTCTGTCTATCATTGTCACATCGCCTACACTCTTTCCTGCATACTGATAGAGAGACGATCAGCTACTCATCACTTCTTCCCACTTATACTCCTGCATTACTGAGGAGAGCTTTCTTCCATGACCCCTACCATCTACCTGTAGATATGGTTCTAAGGGAAAGCTACCTACTTCCTACCTATATATTCTCTTTCACTTTCGTCTGATCTAATTATGTATGTTAATATCTGAATTATACCTTTATTTACCGCTAGAACTAATATTAAGATCTAAGAAGATAATGTATCTCGTAATTCAGTGGTGTTACCAAATATTATGTTTAACGATAAGAATATACTATTTGTATGTTATCTATCTATTTCTTATAGTCTCTTTCAATAGACAATTTTCTCATTTTCCTACCCCCTGCTTTCCTACCCCTCCCTCTGCCCCCACATCCCCTTCTCTCTCACATATAGGGCCGAAAATCTCCTTCCTTCCCTACCCTCACCATACCCGCAGAATTACCGATATAACTCTCATGACTGACATCCATACCTTGCCTGCACAGCTATCACCCGTAGATAGATAAAGATATAAATGCAAGAACATAGATACAGAGACTCCCCCGAGATCCCCATTTGACTGACTAGCTACAGCTATGATTACCTCACTAGTCGTCGAGCTTCACCTTCCTGCCCACGGATATTAGCTGTAAAAGGAGAACGATATACTACCATTCCACGCACTCAACCCCTCCTTCTTATTTATTAGACCACCTCCCGTCCCCCCCTTGACCCAATGATAAGAAGCAAACCTCCACTATGCTATGCTTTACACCCTTTCCACCTGCCTCCCCGTACCTCCCTATATATTATTATTAACGAGCCCTGACAAATCGTCCATTAATAGCCCTCTCCCTCCATTATCTCCAACTGCTCCTCCCCCCCCACCACTATTACACTCGCATGCCCTACTCTATATACCCGCAGAAGTAGAACCTGACCCTATGCCACTGATAGAATCACGACGCAGAATATGTTGTCTCACCCCGTCACTCACTGACCTGTCCACCTTACCCTACTCATACTACTCCTATTCCACTTACTATATACACATCTCTGATCTCTCCCACACCCACATCCACCATATTTTATTATTTAACCCACGCCTATTATCACCCCACCCATATATGAGGGGCCCCATCACCACACCCACCCCATACCCCTCCCCGATCTCTCACTTGACCTCTCCTCCCTCCCGTCCCTTACCAATCTATATAACCACATCTAACCTACACTCCCCTCCCTATCCCACTTAACACTACCCTCATCCCCATCCCCTACTCACTATATATAACACTACCCATATTAATTACCACCTACCACCCCTTTTACGACTCTCCTCCTAATTCAATTTTACATATACCCATCTCTCCTCTATCCCCTATCACTGCCTTATACTAAACCTTACTATCCATCACCATGCCCCTATTACTATCTCCCCCTCTATATCCACCTCAACTTAACCACTAGAGTACTAGGTCGTTCTACACAACCGTCCAGTACCCTGCAGGAGAACCCCACTAGAAGGTGTCCGTCCTTACCCACGAGGAGACCCGAGCCCATTCATACGCAGGAGTGTAGGTCGTGGAAGGAATGGAAGGAGGGGGAGGGGAGGGGGAGGGAGGGCGGTGGGTGGGGTGTGTGTGTGTGTGTGGAAAGGGGGTGGGAGGGGGAGGGAGGGAGGGATGGAGGGAGGGAGGGGGGAGTGATGAGGGGAAAGGGTGGGGGAGAGTAGGGAGGGAGGGGAGGGAGGGAGGGAGGGAGTCATGAGGGAAAGAGGGGGGAAGAGTAGGGAGGGAAGGATAGAGGAGGAGAAGGAGGGATAAGAAGGAGGTGGGAGGAGAGAGGGGAAAGGGGAAAGGGAAGGGAGGAAAGGGATGAGGGGAAAAGGGGAGGGAGAAGGGAGAGAATAAAAATGTAGGAGGGAGAAGGGAAAGGAGAGAATCAAAGTGGGGGGGGGGAGAAGGGAGGAGGAAAGCGAGAGAGGGAGGGATGAGGGGAAGAGGGAGAAAAGGAGAGAAGGTCATGGAATTCAGAGAAGAGAGGGAGGAAGAGAAGAAAGAGGGAGAGAGAAGGAGCAGGGAAGTGGGGATAAGAGAGAAGGTAGGGGGTGTGGGAGGATGGGGAAGGGAGGTGAAAGGGAGAAAAGTGTTGCGTGGAAGGAGAGAGAGAGAGAGAGAGAGAAGAGTGGCGTAGAAGGAGAGAGAAAGAGTGATGATAGAAGGAGAGAGAAAGAGAGAGGGAGAAAGACTGGTGTAGAAGGAAGAGAAAAGAGAAGGATGAAGAGAAGAGAGAAAAAAAAATACGTTTTTGAAAGGAGAAGGAAAGAGAGAGAGGAATAAATGAAAGGGAAGTGGGGAGATAGGGAGAAAAAGAGAAGAAATGGGAGCAGGGGGGAGAGGAAGAAGGAAATCTTGATATTTCGTTGGAATTCATTGGTAATCCAAAAGAACTTAGGAACTTACTGATATCTGTATATTTACGAATCAAAAGTTCAAGCACCATTGCTAATAGGACTTCAGTGTATATACGTTTGTACAGAGGGGGGTGGGGTGAGGGGGAAGGGGGATGTAGAGAGGGGTAGAGAGGGGGTGGGGGGCAAGCAAGTCTTATTGAGAGAAGCAGTTGTATCGTGGGTACATGTGCACCCCTCCCCCCTTCCCCCTCTCCCCCCTGGTCATCCCTTACCCCCCCCTCTCCCCCTCCCCGTCGAGTCATTCATAGAAAGTGGTGTGATAGTGGCGCGGTTATGCTCGTCCGAATCTTCTCTCTTTTCTATCTTTTTTCTCTCCTTTTCTTATGTCTTCTTCCTTCTGTCTTTCTCATGTTCTGACTTTTACATATATAACATCCACTCTCCACCTGGTTGTATATAATGGTATTCCACATCTAAGAAAGAAAAGAGAGAGAGAGAGAGAGAGAGAAAGAGACAGAGAGAGAGACGAGGGTAACGAACCACTCTCCCCCTCTCCCCCCCTTCCCCCTCCCCCCCCCCACACACTGCAGGGTAGGAGTTCATTCATGAATTTCTGACAGACTTAGATAAGGCGAGGGAAGTCACTGAGGCGTTATTCCTATCCCTCCATAGTAGAATTTTGACCCTTACTGCGTCGGCGACTGGGGAGGGAGCTAGTTGATCCCAACATGAGTCATTCCTTTTTTTTCTAGGACATACATGGCGGGAAAAGTATGTGTATGTTTGTCTATGTGTATGTATAAGAGGTAGATAGATAGATAGATAGATTGATAGATAGATAGATAGACACACACACACACACACACACACACACACACACACACACACACACACACACACACACACACACACACACACACACACATATATATATATATATATATATTATATATATATATATATATATATATATAGAGAGAGAGAGAGAGAGAGAGAGAGAGAGAGAGAGAGAGAGAGAGAAGAGAGAGACAGACAGACAGACAGAGAGACAGACAGAGAGACAGAGAGAGAGAGACAGAGAGAGAGAGAGAGAGAGAGAGAGAGAGAGAGAGAGAGAGAGAGAGAGAGAGAGAGAGAGAGAGAATGTTTGTGTGTATGTATGTGTGTGTTGTCATCCCTTGCCAAATACAATAATAAAAAAAATAATTATATAACTCATGTGAACTATGTACCAAATAAAATCATCCCTTTAAAGAATATAATTCATAGCAGTTTCTAGTCGTAATACATACACGATAGTCTGATAACTGAGAAAAATTATGTCACGACGAAAATGTTATCTCCGGTGATGCTAGAAGAGAGATGAGGTGATAACAGCAATATATCAAGAAGATAAAGACGATAATGAATCCAGAAATGACGAAGGAATGAAGATGAAGAGAGGAAATGAGTGTGGAGATAATGATAATACGGAGTCTGCTTATCTTCACTAATTCCTTTATCTTGTACTGATAACCGGCGAATGCAGGTCATTTCGTGGAGATGACGTGATGAAGTGATGAAGTGAGGCTTGGTATGCAGACTCTGAAATGATGCTGAAGATTTATTTCGAGATGCTGCCTGCTCATCTCACAGCCATAATCAGCGCACACTTGCTTATTGACTTTAAAACAAGTAGATGAAATAGTAGAATTGAAAGTAGATGATATATACAAACTGAATTGATAAAAAAAAAAAACAGTAATCAGTATTGCTATCATCAATAACAATATCAGTTATCAATACAAATGATAGACAACAATAAACTAATTATTTCAACGAAGGCTTGAGATACAAACGGTAATTATAATTAATGAAATAAAAAACAATAATCAGCAATGTTATCAATAACAACATCAATCATAAAATNATATATATATATATATATATATATATATATCCTTACAACAAATAATCATATCACTGGGCGGTGGGGGTGGGGGGGTTACTCACTCTGATGGCTTGGATATCCACTGTTGATGGCAAGTCTTGAGGTTCCTCTTCCTCCTCTTCCTCCTCATGGGCAACTGATGAAGCTCCCCATATGTGGTGATGGTGGTGAGGGAGAGGGGGTGTGAGATGGGAGTGATGATGAGGCGGAGGCGGAGAAGTAAGGTGGTGATGGTGGGGTGAGGTTAGATGGTGGTGGTGATGGCTTGGAGGTGGGGGTGGTGGAGGAGGAGGAGATGTCAAGTGATGGTGATGGTGGTGGTGGTGAGATGAGTGATGAGGTGACGTCAGAGGCGCAGCAACGAGAGGATGTGGAGGAGGAGATATAGATGCCAGAGAGGCAACTGGTGGCGTTGGGGTAGATACTGGCCCTACCACAGATGTCTGTGCAAGCTGCTTTGCACCCTCTAGCGTCATAGGCTCAGCTAGAGTTGCACTTTCCTCTTCATCCTCACTCAACATCATATCCTATAAAGATATCGCAAAATATCATGGTTTCTGATAATACATACAGTATTATCTACAATTGAATACTATCATCATCTATGAAATACATCTACTCATTACCTTCTAAATACAATAAATATATACAGATATATGCAATAATGTTGGTACTTTACATGCCAAAAATCAAGATACAAAATTATCAGATGACAATACACTTTAGAAAATGTCTTACCTTCCAATAAAATTCATTTAAGTATGTTTCTTATTCTGCTAATTTACAAGCATAGTGGAGTATTTTGCCATTCATCCCATCCATACATCAGATCTTACTTTACCTATGATACTGGCTTCAAATACTGATCATTCTTTACATACCTGATGTTCAGCATATGTCGAGCGATAAGGATCTCTGCCTTTGTCTGCCGAGGGCTGTGACATGGTGCTGTATGGATCTCGACGCTCCATACCACGGCACACAATCACTTCATGGTACACAATACTACCATGATTCCTGTAACATATAAAAATACATACATAAATAAACACCATTGAAATAAACAGATTATTCTTTGATATCAGGTGACATCATTAACCAATACAATTGCTGAAGAAAATAATAAGAGAAATCAGATTCTTATTTTCCATCCCTGTTTATTGTTGGGCCATTAGAGCACATTTTTCCTATTCTACATAAAATTAGTCATAGTATTCTTAATGGCCTAAGAAAAGGTAAGAGACGGTACTAAAGAAGTAATCACACCATATATATAAAAATCTCTTAGATTTCTTATGAACAGACAACAAAATGAGGAAAGGGCTTGAGAGGGAGAGGGAAAGGGGGAGAGGGGAGAGGGGAGAGGGGAGAGAGAGGAGGGAGAGAGAGAGAGAGACAGCCAGAGAGAGAGAGAGAGACAGCCAGAGAGAGAGAGAGACAGCCAGAGAGAGAGAGACAGACAGACAGACAGCCAGAGAGTGAGAGAGAGACAGCCAGAGAGAGAGAGAGACAGACAGACAGACAGACAGAGAGAGAGAGACAGACAGACAGAGAGAGAGAGACAGACAGACAGACAGACAGACAGACAGACAGACAGAGAGNAGAGAGAAAAGAAAGAGAGAGAGGAAACGAGAAAAGAGAGAAAAGAGAGGGAAAGAGAAAAGAGAAAAACAGAAAAGAGAGAGAAAAGAGGAAAGAAGAAAAAGAGAGAGAGAAGAGAGAGAAGAGAAGAGAGAAGAAAGGAGAGAGAGAGAGAGAGAAAGAGAGAGAAGGAGAGAGAGAGAGAGAGAAGAAGAGAGAGAGAAAGAGAGAAAGAGAGAAAGAGAGAAAGAGAGAAAGAGAGAAAGAGAGAGAAAGAGAGAGAAAGAGAGAGAAAGAGAGAGAAAAAGAGAGAGAGGAGAAGAGAGGAGAGAGAGAGGAGAGAGAGAGAGAGAGAGAGAGAGAGAGAGAGAGAGAGAGAGAGAGAGAGAGAGAGAGAGAGGAAGAAGAGAGAGAGAGAGAGAAAAGAGAGAAGAAAGAAAGAGAGAAAGAGGAAGAAGAGAAAGAGAGAAGAGAGAAAGAAGAGAAAGAGAGAAAGAAGAGAAAGAGAAGAAAGAGAGAAAGAGAGAAAGAGAGAAAGAGAAAGAAGAAAAGGAGAGAGAAGAGAGAGAGAAAGAGAAAAAAGGAGAGAGAGAAAGAGAGAAAGAGAAAATGGACTGCATCTTTTAATATTATGATAACTTTGACTAGACAGCCAAATTAGTAATGACATTTGGGCCTTTTACAAAACCATAGGTACCAGCCTTTATTGAAGGCATACACTAATGATGCCAAGACGGGTATACTATTTTCACAAAGTAATGTTAGTACATGTATAAATGTATTCTGCCCTGTAATTTTATTTTCTTAATCTTGTTTACACATAGATGATTCTGCAAGTGGTTAGCCACCATGGAGTCAATTAGCTACCTGATCTCATCCATTTACCCATGCTATGAACTTCCACAAGTTTTATCCTATTACTACTATTACTGCCAATATCATAATAGTAAAAGTTGCAATAATAATAATAGTGCTAACAGTGATGATAATAGTATTAACCTACCATGGAAGGATGACATCTATTTTTGCCATGACAAAAGCAGGAATATCAGATGACAAGCATCTGTACCAAGCAAAGTCGACTTTGGTGTCAACTGTGTGCAAGTTTCAGGAAAACATTGTGTTCACCTGATTTCACCACTCCTTGAGTTTTAGTTGTTTTTTTCTTCTTTTTTAATGATACAAATACTAATGTTATTAATATTATTATAGACATAATTATCATTATGCTATTAACATTACAAACAGCAATATAAGACTAAAGAAAATATTACCAAAAATCAAGGAAACTAGTCAACAGCTGAGATGCAGATACTAGTAAATGTCTCATTGGAGCCCTCTGTGTGCAGACTGATAATAAACTAAACAGTAGCATAGGGTTAAGTTAAGTTGAGCATCATTTCCTGGACACTCATCTATACCACAGCCAAAAGTAAGGAGAGGGAGGGTAAATTCATGTTCCCATACTTCTACTGTTTCACTCAAGTGGCGTGTGGCCCTGTGTGAAGTGAGGAAAACCTGTCATAATTTAGTTAAAGATTTTACAATAATATTAATGGAAAATTTCAAAGAACTAAGTAAATAGCTCTGGCACATTAAGTAATTGACTTCTTGGTGACTATGCACTTGTGAAGCTATCATCTGTACATACACCTGACAAAACAGTACCTGTACCCAGTGCTAATGAGTTTAAAAAGGGATTTTTTTTCTTCTTCTTCTTCTCAGTGTATTTACCAGTCTTTGCAAAAAGTAACTGCCTTATCTGTTAGTTTTAAGATTTCTATTAAGACATTCTTTTTTAACCCGCTGAATCCAGTTGTGTCACGGAAACCACAGTGCCAAAAACACTGGCAATGCATGATGTAAGTGGCCAACATCCCGGGCATGTGGCGCACAGGCCGGGTGCACACGAACACCCATGAGCAGTGACAAGACTCTGTGCCTCCCCTTTGCAAAGTTATTGTGTAAACTTTTTTTTAGCTTTATCGCCATTTTTCAATGTCCATATTTGTCTTATGATTTTCTTTATCCAGAAGGTAATAGCTTATTTCCTTGCACAGACTCCATATTATC